GTGAAACGCTGGTGACGAGGAGCATGAGAAATGTTTAATTAAACACTCTACACAGGTAACTATGCACAACAGGGGACTGGGCAAGCACACACCCCACACAACAGCCTGCTGCTTTTAATTACATGCACACCATTCAGCCGACCATGCAGGCAGAGGGAGTGAAACACAGAGAGAAGAGAGGCAGAGCAGGAAGTAGCTTGAGAGCCGATAAAGGCAGAAGTACTGACAGAAATGAGTAAAAAGAAATACTGGAACAAACCAGAAAAGCATTGTTCTATACGTAGAGCCAATGACCCGAGTAGAAAGAGGCAAATGATTCGCTACGAGCCTCGTGTTTCATCATTTTAACTGATTGACTCAGTGATAACCACGGGAGACATCGCCCGCTGTCACTTCTCCTGCTCTTATCCGACCAATGACAACATCATCCCATTTAACGGCAACAGCAACACACTGAGTCATTGTGCACAAGGGCTTCTGATGTTCAGAACTGAAAACCCTCCAACGAATCCTATCATGATAAGAAAAACATGTCTTCTCTGCTTATTTTTCTTTATTTTCTGAGTTATTCTCTTCCAGAAACACTGCAACACTAATATAAAGGAGTAAAGGATCTGCTGTAGATTTTTTAACTGATCTATATTATGATAAATGAAATTATCCTCATAGTAATTAAACAAACAATGCTTCGAGGGGCTGTGTTTATGGTAACACATAATCCATAATATTCTTATCTCACCAGTATTTACAAGCGGTCCATGAAAACGGATTTGTGACTGCCTTCAAATTCTTTTGTATGTGCACAATAATTTACTGGAGCTTAGAGCTTTGGATTACTGTTTATTTATGCTGTCTAATAAAGTTGAGCTTGAATCCCTTTATTTCTCATCTCCAAAATAATACTGAACACATTTAGAAAACACTGACACGCCATCTTATAAAGTTGTTACGACAAACAGATGCCTTTCACATCCAGTAGACACAGAGCAATATTAGCATCGGTTTGGACCCGAGCCTCTGTCCAGCTGATGAATGCAAAGCCCCTTTTCACCTTGTCTCCAATTTTTTATTTGTTCTTTGAGACACTAAGTAATGTAAATTTAACCCCTCCCTCATAAATATCAGTCCCATAAACATGCCTGATTTTATTTCCATCAAGATCCATGAATAATTCTCTGAGAAATCAAGCAGAATGTACCGCACCAAATTTTTACAGTTTATTTCTTTATCCAACTGCAACATATGCTCTTTTTGTACAGATCATTCATTACAAATTAAATCTTTATTGTTTTGTTCAGGGATGAAGAGAGAAAGACAGATATGTAGCTGGATGAAGACATAATGACGGTGGGATCAGGATTACAAGTTACTTTTCTGGAGGCAAAAACAAAGGTGTTCTAAAACTTTAGTTTTTAGTTTAGTTTGCCACTGCAACATGACTATGGACACAACATGAGCATCATTCAATAAAACATATACAGTACGCTATATCATAGAGATACTATATTTATGTTTTATCTTTATTTTATACCTGACCCATTATCTAAGTATCATGTGGTAACCATTGATTTCTAACCTCTAGTTTCTAAGTATGACAAACAAAAAAGTTTTTAACTTTCAGAGCTTTCTGTGGCTGTATCGTATCCAAGCCAAACTTCAGTATCAATCAGCCCACAACTATGATTCAAAGACACATTTCACACAATCCCACTGATCCTCCATAACGAAGTCTCTCCCTTTCACCAGCTGACGATAAACAAAACACCAAAGACCCTTATGGGGATGTTCAGATGATTGCCAAGCCTGTTTCCAAGACTGATGCTGGTATTCTTGTTCCAAGTTTTAAGTAAAAAATACCACTCCCTTTTTTATCTATAAATCTGCAGCTCAGAAACAGGGGAGTACTAACAAGTCCATTCAAAGTTCCGAGTCTAAGTGCAGTTACCAAGATGGCTTGTCAAGACATTTGCTAATTGTAAAATAGGCGAGCGAGGAGACACGCCCGGCAACGATTATTAAAACAGATAGACATCTAGATTATCATCGTGCTGCCTCACTCAGCGGGCTATACGAGAGGTTCACACTCTGTCATGGTGATTACTGTGACGGGCAGCGTGGCCTCTCATTGCTGCCCAGCCGACACAAAGTACAATTAATCAATCAAAGCTCCCGACTCGGGGGTTCATCCTTTAAGACAGGCATAATAATCCCTCACTGCTTCCCACATCCACGCACTGAAGTCCACATGCTCTACTGAAGAGGAGAAGAAGAGTCTGCATAATGGAGGAATGGAGTGATCTAGAAGCTGATTAACAGAATAATTATGACTGTCGTGGTAATGTAACAGAAGACAAAGCTGATGAGTGTCGGATGAGTGCCTCAATCAGAGCAGGCCAGTGTGCAGCATCACTGACTTCAAGAATAA